TGACGCTTGATCAGGTTCTTATAAGATCGATTATATATGTTGTTCAATTATCCATATTTTAAATTTTTTTTTGAGCATTATATGTAAATTAATTAATATTTCATACTTGTTGAACCAACTAAGAAAAATGATCATACATATTGCAGGCATTGAAAGAAAAGAAGTTGTTCATAATTGATTATCATGACATGTTTATGCCATACGTGAACAAAGTAAGGGAGCTCAAAGGGACAACATTATATGCTTCGCGAACTTTGTTCATCCTTAATGATGATGGAACACTAAGACCTTTAGGTATTGAATTAACTCGGCCTCCAGTAGATGGGAAGCCTCAATGGAAGCAAGTGTATATGCCGGGAACCAGCGCCACTTCTGGCTGGCTTTGGAAGCTTGCTAAGGCGCATGTCCTTGCCCATGATTCGGGCTACCACCAACTTGTTAGCCACTGGTACGGTCCAAATATTGATAAAATTAAAGTAACTTTGGTTTAAATATTTTTTGTACCATGAAGACTAATTAGTCTATGTTCACTTGATGATTATTGTAGGCTTAGAACTCATTGTTGCACGGAGCCTTACATAATTGCTGCAAATCGTCAATTGAGTGCAATGCACCCAATATATAGGCTATTGCACCCTCATTTTCGATACACCATAGAGATCAATGCTCTTGCTCGACTAGCTTTGATTAATGCAGGCGGTATCATAGAGGGTTCCTTCTCACCCGGGAAGTATGCCTGTGAGATTAGCTCTGTCATCTATGGCTTGGAGTGGCGATTTGATAATGAAGCCTTACCAAATGACCTAATTAGCAGGTAATTTAAAATACAATTTTGCAACATCAATTTGGATGGTAATAAAGCATGAATTAAAATCTTGTCAAACGGAATGTTCAATTAATGTAAAATTGGAAAATGATATACATATCCCTTAGGGCTACATATAAGAAGTTAAAAATGAAAAATATAAATGAAAGCATAACATTAATTATACTGATTTTCGCGTGAATTTATCATGTATGCATAAATTAATTTAAAAATAGAATATATACTAAATTCTTATTTGTAACCCTAAGGGCTACATGTATCATTACCCTAAATTAATCAGTGATATTATTGAGTCACGTTCGTTGTATTTGAATTATTATAGGGGATTGGCAGAAGAAGATGCATCAGCACCACACGGATTAAAGCTAACAATAGAGGACTACCCATACGCGAATGATGGCTTAGAGTTATGGTATATCCTCAAGCAATGGGTGGCAGATTACGTGAACCACTACTACAAAGATCTGAGCCTAGTAGAATCGGATCAAGAGCTTCAAGCTTGGTGGACGGAGGTAAGAACCGTAGGGCACGGAGACAAGAAAGACGAGCCATGGTGGCCGAGCCTCAAAACAAACGACGACCTAATCCAAATTGTGACAACCATAATATGGGTGACTTCAGGGCATCATGCAGCCGTAAACTTTGGACAATATGCCTATGCGGGTTACTTCCCTAATAGGCCTACTGTCATGAGGGCTAAGATGCCTACGGAAGACCCCACTAGCGACGAATGGAAACACTTTATTGATAAACCCGAGGAGACACTTCTTCGAAGTTACCCTTCTCAAATACAAGCTACTAGAGTTATGGCAATTTTGGACGTGCTTTCGGGTCATTCACCCGACGAAGAATATCTAGGTGAGAATATGGAGCCTTCATGGGAAAATGAACCTATGATAAAGGCGGCTTTCGAGAAGTTTAACGGGAGATTGAAGGAGTTAGATGGGATCATTGATGAGAGGAATGCTAATGAGAACTTAAGGAATAGAAATGGAGCAGGTGTTGTGCCTTATGAATTGTTGAGGCCATTTTCTGAACCTGGTGTTACTTCTATGGGAGTTCCTAATAGTATTTCCATTTAAATTAAACATTATATTGATTAAGTTTGCACAAGAGCTAGTATTATTGTGACAATTAAGTTGATTAAGTGCTAGTTTTTTTAAGCAAAAATAAAATTTAAAATTGAAAGTGAGCAAATAAAAATAACCTCCTTTCAATTGTGTGCACTTTTTACAATAATGGAATGTTATTTTGTCCTTCCTTAATACAAATGGAATATTATTTTGTCCTCCCTTTTATTTCGTATGGGATGATCTCACAATAATTAAATATGAAGTAATAACTTTTAAACCAAGCATTAAGCCAATTTACCAGCCTAGCTTATTTTTGTATTATTTAATTTATTACAAGTGTTCTCTTATCAATATTTTTTTTTTTAAAATAGCAAGTCATACGAACATTTTATTTAAATTTAATTAAATTAAATCTATTTCGCTAAAGCAGTATACTTTGAGGAAAAGAATCCATATTAACATACTCAACATTTTCCACCGATATCTCACCTAGTAAGTCCTTGTTCAGTTCACCTTAAAAAAATAATAGAGCATTCAGTATATTAATTTCAATTCAATAAAATAAATAACTTTAAAGAAGAAATATAATAGAAAATCAGTAAAAATAATTTTAATCTAGCAAAAATAAAGATACTGACAAGGGGAGAGACTGTATTAATGTTTCTTTGTCTCACTAACAATTACTTGTAAAATATTGTCAACTTTTTCCACGTAGCAAATTAAAACTTGCGTATCAACAATGACGTACACTTACGAATATTTTTTTGGATACTTGTGTTTACTTATTTACATAGGAGTAGGACCACTTAATAAAAATGTTTTGCATGGGGGATAAGGTAAGTGCAAACGTGATATCCATGGATCAAATCGACCAATAAGAGCCATACATTTGGGATTTGTAGATATAATTTTTATAATTTTAATCCGTATTTAACTAATTAATCGAAAACTTTCAAGTACGTCTTTATCACTATTGACTGTACTCTATTAAGTTACTCGTATTAGTTATCACCTTAATGGCTTGCCTGAATTTTCTTAAATAAGTAAACACAAATTTTTATATGTGGCTGTGTGGCCAGTCACATGTTTTTTTTATTATATTTTTAATTTATAAAAGAATGTTCGGGGTTATTTGGTCAGGGGTTACTCGATCACTCGGTTAGTCAGGTATTACTCACTCAGTCAGTCAGGGTTACTTGGTTAGGGATTACTCGATCGATCAGGAGTTACTCAGTCAGAGGTTATTGATTAGGGATTACTCGATCGGTCATGAATTACTCATGTGTTAGCTGGCCACACAGTGAGACCAGCCACATACAAAAGTTGTTGGTAAGTAAAGGGATAATTTTTATGGGTTGAATTTTACTGGTGGATTAATTAATGTGATAACTTTTATTCCCCTATTTCAAATATCCTATTTGAAAAATTAAAAACCATAAATTTATATTATCCCACTATTGATGATTTGATGATGATTGTCAACCACGATTTGAAAAGTTTAAGACTTTTTTTCCTTAATATAAGTCGCAGGCATTTAATTTCTTTAATTTTCATAGTTAACACTTAACAGCACAAGATAAGTACGTACATTATTATATAGACTTATGTTTTTCCTTGTTCTGGGCATACGTTACATCTAAAGTATATATACACGGAAAATAAGACTAGGCTGTAACGAATTCTGTAGTCCATTTTCATATTTTTCTTATTTTGGACATACGAATATACGATACGCTCTAGTGTATAGTACATACACGAAAATTAAGACTTGGCTGTAACGGCTTCTCTAGTCCATTTCTTATATATTTCCTGCGTTAACGGTTATTTGCAACAAATGTATTATGCGCGGAGGCCTAGGCAAAACTTTTAAGGAGTGTTTAGGTGAGAGTAATTGAAAACAAAGGCACGCGATTAATTCACTAAAAAGGAGGGTAAGGGGGGACCCGGTTTTATATAAAGAGGAGAGAGAAACTGAATTTTTGGGGGTTTTAATTTTCCTTTCTAAAATTTCACCCTCTTTTGAAATTTTTTAGTTTTCCACACCAAATGTTTCCCTCCACTTGAATTTTTCATTCAAGGGAGGGTATTTAAACATGCAGCCAGAAGAAGCTTTCAAATTTTTCATACAAACCAAAAGTTCTACCCTAACCAAATTACACCATGTTTTCTTCACAAAAGTTAACACTAAGCTACCCTTCTAAAACTAATTAGTGCAAGGTTAGAAGCAGCATCCTTCATCTTCTAAGGTAAATCTGGTTCAGCTTCAGTACTTCAAAAAAAAAAAAAACAGTAACCCCCACTTCATCACCAGTCCTCAAATCTGTGGAAATCAACATTGCAGAAATTATCAAACATGGCAGAATTTTTCGATGAGGAATTTTTTAGCATTGTTCAATTGCTAAATGATGAAGGCAATATAGAAGACAGTGATTCAAGCACCATGGAAGAAACTCACAACATTGATCAAAATGTGTTACATGAAGAAGCAATGCAGCAACCCAAAGGCAGGAAACAACTTATTGTTACGCAAAAAAGAGAGCTTGTTGATGCTATTCTAGTGAAGATGGATGGTGAGGAATTGCCACGAGGCTTTTTATCACAGCAAGCAATGAAGTTCAATGTTCACAGATCAACAATACAGAAATAATTCAAAGACATAAAGAGACAAATGGCCGTAGGGAATGTGATAGATGTCAGAAGCAAGGCAAAATTGGACCCAAACCAACAGAGTACACAGATGAGTTTCTGCAGTCATTCCCTTTGTACAAAAGGACAACTGAGAGAAGCTATGAAGCTGCTCTCATGTCACCATTCACAAGTTAAATAAAAAAGGGAGGCTAAGAACACATACAAGCACAAATCACCCAGCCCTGACATCCAACCACGAGATAGCAAGACTAAAATGGGTTTTAAGTTATCCGCTGCCTGCTGAACAGAATGCTAACCCAAAGTTTGAGGATATGCAGCAAGTCATACACATAGATGAAAAATGGTTCTACTTGAACCCAGAAATAAGGAGGTTCTACCTGCTGTCAAATGAACCAAATCCATATAGGTGCCAATAGTCCAAAAAATTCAAGGTAAAAGGCATGTTCAAGGCAATGATTGGCAAGCCAATTTTTGACACCCATGGACATGTGCTACATGATGGAAAGTATGGAATCTTTCCATTTGTTTATGAGACCATTGCAAAGAAAAATAGCAAAAACAAAGAAGCTGGAACTGTGGAAATTAAGGCAACACAGAATGTAAACAAGGAGGCAATCAGGGCAATGCTTCTCAATAATGTAATTCCAGCAATAAAAAGTAAATAGCCACCCCATCTGTCTAAGGACATATGGATTCAGTGGGATAATGCCAGACCTCATCAAATTCCTAAGGATGAGGAATTCATTGCTGCATGTCAGTCAGATGGGTTCAACATTCAGTTCATTTACCAGCCAGCACATCACCTGACTTGAATGTGCTAGATCTTGGCTTGTTCAATGTCATACAATCCATACAGTACCAATCATTCCCTAAGAACTTGGGGGAACTCATAGACAGGGTCAAAGAGGCTTATGGCTTGTTTAATCCAGTATTGAACAAGTACTGTTGGATAACACTACAATGTTGCATGGAAGAAATACTCAAGCATCTAGGGGGGAATAATTTTACCCTAACACACAAAGGGAAGAAAAGGCTGGAAAGACTTGGCTTGCTGCCAGAACAACTAGAGGTAGAGAGGAATTTGGTTCAACAAGCTGTTGATTATCTTAACACTTTATTCATATCGGCAGGTGAAGGCAATGAAGAGGATGAAGGCATGAAAGTTGATGCAGACTGAACACATCTCAGACACATAAGGAAGGTGACAGTGAGACTGCCACACATAACCAATGAAGAGCATGGAAGCAAATGGTAAAATAATAGGTAGTCTTTTGTGTTTTTAGTTTTACCATTGTTTGAAATTAATTGGTTATGTGTATTATGTTTGCCATTGTGATACACAGACACACACATGTTTAAATCCATCAGAGGGTGTTTCTTTATCCCATAAATTGCATAAGTGGTTCCCTCAACAACAACTTACAGTTGAAGTTGTTGGAGCAATTCCAACTTATCAATTTTTTGTGTCAAATGAGTCCTTTCATCTTTTGGATTTTTCACACACACATACACTACATTAAGGGACTCCTAGATCAGGTAGGAACACACAATAAGTAGGGACTCATGAAGGGACACACATCTAGGCAACAATAAGGGACTCGTGAAGGGACACACATCTAGGCAACAATGTTGTTCTCTGTTAGCATAGACATTGAGAACAAAGCAAAAGGGACTCCAACAATAAGGGACTGAACTGCAGGCACATATGTTCGATCTCTTAATTAGATTTCATTGAGAACATCTAATACCATTTACAATAGGTTACAAGTTCATCATCATTCATCATATCATAATCCCCAAAGCCATTCTATGCCAATAATGAACAACCTCAAGCTACAAAGGAACAAGCACAACCCACAAAAGAATTAGAACCCATATATGAACAACCAGAAACCCACATATGAACAACCTCAAGCCATAAATATCACAAACCAGAAATAGCCAACAAATTACCAACAGTAGCCAACAAATATGGCAACCAAATTCCCAAACACAAGCCAACAAATGCCCAACACTCAGAATTTATCAATATTTGACAGAAATTATCACAAATAGCCAACAAATTCCCAACAGTAGCCAACAAATTATCAAAAATCGCCAGAATTGAACAACAATGCCCATATTTTTTCAATAATTGGCAGAAATTATCACCAACAGTCAACAAATTTATCAACAACATTCCACAATTTAGTATCATAAGCCACAAATTACCAACAACAGGCAACAATTACTACCAATAAGGTAGATCATAGCAACCAGAGGCTAATTATCACAACCAACAAACAAATCAGGGACTCAGAGTAATTGAACACAGTTAATCTAAACAGTTTAGGGTAAGAAAAGAGTTACGTTGCAAAATTAGTTAGAGCCACAGTTGGAAGGGTTGTAATCCCCATCAACATCAACAGCCTCGTCGACAGGGGACCCAGTTCTACCCCTTTTCTTGCTGGAGACAACACCGTTAGACTTCTCAACCTTTGGGTTTATTTCAGCCGCCTCCTCTACAGTCTTTTCCGGCTTAGGAGCTGCAGAATGGGGTTCAGCATCCTCGCTCTTCACAACATCAACAGCAGGATCCTTTTTCTTTGAACCCTCACCGTTGTTGCCCAGATCTGCCACCTTAGACCCCTCACCTTCTTCATCAGAGTCGTAAGGAGCAAGCTTCACACCTACACCATACATACGGCGCATATCCAGGTATGTTGCCCTACGGGTACCGATTAACCTCATTTTCCCAGTACGACGCTGACATTTTTAGGTCGCAACAACGTCTAGATTTGGTTGCTTCTCGTTTAGGGAACTCATTTTTTGTGGTTTTTCAAAGAAGAAAGTAGATCTGCAGATAGAGAAGGTGTAAGATCTAGAGAAATTAGGGTTTCAACAAGGAGGAGAGAGAGTGAGGTAAACCAGATCGAAAGAGGAGAAGAGAGAGGGTGTTGAAATATGGAACGATCTCCAGAGCTAAAGGCTTCAACAACCTCGTTAATGGAAGTAGCTGAAGGGTGCATTGAAGAGGGTTGGTGAGAAGATGAATGTGGATCTGATGAATTGAAGCAAAAGGGGATGTAGATCTTTATTTTTGGTGGGAATCATTAGATTAGATTTGTGGATAAGAGGGATATTTAATTTTAATAACAAAGTAAGTTAGAATATAATCAGTTTTTATTAAGGGTAGCAAGGTAATTTTGTCACCAAAAAAGTTACTAAAAAAGGAAAGAAAAGCTTTGTTGCAAATAATAGTTAGCACCCATTTTTAGTATATGTTGCAAATAACTGTTAACGGAGGTAGTAAATATGAACGGTTGGGGTAAATTTAGGAAAGGAAAAAGGGTGTTTTTCTTCTTGCTTGCTGAAATGTTGTAATCTCAGTATAGAAAATGGTGCAAAACAAGTAAATACATTAAATTTAAGGCTTGTTTGGTTGAATGTAGGAATTGCAAATTCCTTGAAAATTAAATTTCCCATGAAATTGAACTTCCTAGGAAATTCTAAAAAGTGTTTGGTTAATCATGGGAAGTTCCACTTACCTAGGCCCCCCTAGGTAATTTAGTTCCTCCATTTTGTGGGAAGTGGAAATTCATGGGAATTTCTACTTTCCATGAATTTGTCAACCAAACAACACCAAAAAATTTCAATTCCTAGGAATTTCAACTTCCCATGTTTTTATTAGTCAACCAAAAAACGCCTAAAGTTTAAGATGTGAGTTTATGTTCCTTTCCAAATTATAAAAGCTTGCAGACTTGTTTCTAGAATCAATTATTGAATTTTGCTTGCTTTGATTTTTTCTTTTTCTAATTGCATCATTAGATCATTATACTCTATTGACATATATATTTTTTAATATTTTTTTTAATTGGTAAGAAAAAATTAAAATTAGATATGAAGTATATATATTGGTACTTGTACGATGTAAATTGACACACGTGAAACTCTATCAGCTGGACGTAAATGGAGTAGGAGTCTTGAAAAAACGACTCAGTACTAAATATAGGGTTTGTCCTTTACTAATGATAGGCCCGGGTAACAATGACTACTACGTAGTTGTAACATGTTACTCGTACATGGTAGTTGTCTACTTGTCTTATTGTATATGGTTCATTGGTTCTATTTCTTAAGTCAATATAAACGAAGAAAGTAAATCTGTTGTAATTTTCATTAAACATTGTCTACATCTATGTGTGATTATCATCACTATTTTATATCTAAAATAATAAAAAAAAATCCATCACTGATTCTATCCCCTAGAGAGTAGATTTTTTTTAACTTTTTTCATTTGAAGATAGTGTATGCGTAGAATTTGCTATGAGTAATTACGACACTTTTAAGCACACCGACAAACTAAAAAAAAAAAATTATAGCTATTGTAATACCTGTAACTATATCTTATCATACTAGCTAATTAATTAATGTGAAACTATTTATTTTATGGCCTCCAATACACTAATTTGACAATTAATTAATTATAATCTATCGCTGTGTATTTATAAAATTATACGAAGTAAAAATTTTATTAGTTTGAAAATATATATTGAAATGTTATTAATAAGATTTCATTTGATTATTTTCATTTTTTACTCCGTAATACAACTATGAGAATGCATGGTCAAAGTTTAAAAGTCGTTTGACCTTCAAAAAAGAAGTAACGGAGTTTTATTTAGTAACAAAGAAAGTATAAATTAATTAAAGACATGACTCCGTTAAAAAAAAAATAAAATTAAAGACATGACTAATAGCTATAAAGTCTATGGGAGTAAAGGTAATTAAAGTTAGATTCACAAATATAATAATTTGAGAAACACTTAGATAAGTAAATAAGCTTACGGAGTAAAAGTTAAACAAAAACAATTACCCGTAATAGCATTTCTCATTATTTTATTTAGGGAAATTCTCATTGGTAGCTAATTATCTTTGATGGTCAAAAACTTTTTAAATTATCTAAATTAGCCATATATATAATACTGTAACTTAATTAATTATAACATTTTAAACCATTAATTATAAGCCACTTTTAAGACTAATAAGTAACTATGGTTAACTTAAGTGTAATTAAGTAACACAATTACTATTACACCCTTACTTACTTTCCCTCCAAACTATAACCATCCTTTTTCCTCCAAAATCATTTTTTGAAAACCCATTCATCTTCTCCGCCATTTTTATACGTACTACTCCAGATTCTCATGGCTTCATCTCATAGTTTTTCAGCAAGAAAGGTTACCAAAGATTATAACATCAAGTATGTCAGGTTATTACCATCCAAAGCTATCATATGCCATCACAAAACAGAGCACATTAAATTCAAGAACACGAAAGCAATTAACTTAATTGAAAACTTAGGGCACAGAATATTTACGCAATAAAGATAGGATCTTAATTTGCAAATTCAACCACAACCCAGACGTCGTCCATCGAATCCAATCACAACCCACAATTTTGTAAACTCCAATGGTTGAAAAAAACCCCAATTCTACTCCACCTTTGTCGCAAATTCAGAATTAAATAATCTCGAACCCTAGTTCTAAAGTCGAAGAATTGAAAGGTAGAAGATGGTGTTTGAATTTCGAATCATGGTGGAGATGCATGGTTTCTGAATATGAGTAAATGAAAGTGTTTTTTTGTAGTGGGAGAGAGAGAAGGAGAGTTGATACGTATTGAGAGCATTCATCACTTTTACAATACGTAATGATGGTAACTTTTTATTTTATTTTATTTTATTTTTAAAATTGAAAATTAACCATATATAGGTTAACCATAGTTACTTATTAGCCTTAAAAGTGGCTAACAATGGTCTATAATGTCATAATTAATTAAGTTACATTATTATATGGCTAATTTAGATAATTTTAAAAGTTTTTGGCCACCAAAGATAATTAACAAAACTTGATGGCTACTAATGAGAATTTCTCTTTTATTATGTATGAACTTATTAGGTAAACAATGTTGCCTTTTAATTTGCTGAGATAACCAAAATTAAAATTATAATCCCAAAAACACAATTCACGTTGTATAATTTCTATAACGCAACCAAAGACAAACTATGTTAAACCATATCAAAATTCGATGCAATGCAAAATAGGAGTATAATTCATGTTGTATATTGGTCCACTGCACTAAGGTGGGTCTCCAAACGTTTTACTTGTTAAATTTTTGTAAAATAGAATTCCAAAAATCTACGCA